TGCCATTACCCTCTTTGTTCTTGTTGCTTTGCTATCCTCTGCCTCAGAGCCAGTCAAGTATGGACTGAAACCTCCACAAACTGTAAGCTAAATAAACCTTACCTTCCTTAATTTTGGACGTTGGGTATTTTGTCTCAGCAAGGAGAGAAAAGTAACCAAGACAACCAGATACAGTGACATGATTTCCATGCAAAACTAGTCTTGTTTTCACCTTTTCATAAAGTAACATGACACTGATGCAGTACTTTCTAAATTCTGTTCTGTGAGTTGGGCTGATAGAGTATATTCTATATGTATGATTTTTTTGCATTTGGTTTTCAAAAATAGCTCATTTTGGATCATTTAACTCTATTGTCATTGTTACAGGGATGAAATTTATCAAAAGCAATAAAGCTTGAATCTAATTATTTTGTCAGTAGGCATTTATTAAGGACTTTTTTATGTGAAGATCTCTTCTGATTTGAAGTTATATATTTATACTGTGCCCTAAATTCTGTAAAGAGGAAACAAAAAGGAACTGAAACCCTGAGAAAAGCCCCCTGTTTGCTAAGGAATTCTGTTTTGAACTGTCCCCCATCATCATTTCTTGCCCATCAATAATCCTACCTGAGGGGCTGGGGATTTAGCTCAGTGGCACAGCGCCTGCCTGGCAAGCACAACGTCATGTGGTACTGGAAAAACAAACAAACAAAAAATAATCCTATCTGCCACATATTTCACCATTTAACTTAATCTGGCTTTGTCAAATGTTTTGTTATTCCCAAACAACTTCCTTTTGAAAATTACTAAACTTTTTCATTTAATCCTGTACATAATGAAAGCATTCCTGGGTTTCTGCTATAGAGAATAAAGAATTTAAACATAGCTGCTTGCTATTGGAAAAAGACATCTTAATGAAACAGTTCTTTTATCATGAAGAGAAAAAATATGAAGTTTAAAGAATATTTTAATGTCTGTAGTTTTCCCCAAAGAAATTTAATTATTGGTATACTATGTGTAGACTAAGAAGTTTGAAAGGTAAAACGAATGACAAAAAGTACAGGTCTGGAGTACTTCCATTTTTATTTAATCTCAGCTTTGAAAGTTTATATATATATTTCAACCAGTATATTTTAAAACACTGGAGCCAGGAGATTCACTGATTTTATATATATATCAGTGATAGAGCAACTGCCTGGTATGTAGTAGGCCTTGTGTTCAATCTCCAACATATATATATATATATATATATATATATATAGAGAGAGAGAGAGAGAGAGAGAGAGAGAGAGATGAAAGATAATTTTGAGACAAGGACTACCTAAATGATAGGACAAAATGAATTAACACTCAATAAAAATAAAAAGACTTCAGTACCTAGAGGCTGCCTAAGGAAGAACAAGTGAAATGCACAGCTGTAATTGTTTGAAAGGTGACTGTCCAAAGCAAATTCAGGAAACCAAAGCACTTTATAATAAAGAACTCAGCTTCTCTGCAGCAAGTATGTGGACTACAAAGGTTCACCCATGTGAGGTGAAGGTTTAGTGCTTCTCTCATTGAACCAAATACTAGCAAACCATGAAAAGGAATGACTAAGTGCCGTTTCTCAATATTTACTGTGTGAACTCAGAGCTCTCCCTGGCTGTTACAAACAAATGTCACTCTCACTGTCCTACAGGCACCTTTCTTTCTCAAACCCTGTCTCTATCCTCCCTGACTTGCTCTACACATTGACACATAGATGCCCACACACAAACTCATGGACACACACATCTAAACACACTGCCATATATACCCACACACATCCAGATAGGCATGCTCACACACACACACACACACACACACACACACACACACACACACACGCTCCCTCCTATGTGCACCATAACCAGCCTGCCTGTGCTGCAGGTCCCTGCTCTGATATCCTCTGCTTGGCTGAGCCTTTTTCATTCAAGCTCAGTTCCTTCCTGGCCAGGCTAGCAGCCTTTGGAGACCACAGACCAAACTCATCTGCCCACCCATTAGATTCTGAGATTACTGAGAGAAGAAATATGCATTTCTCAGGTAGCTGCTTCACACAGTGCTTGTCAGATGCTGACTAAGAGTATATTACATGCCTGTATTTGCTTATCTGAGTAACCAGTTTGAAGATATCAATATGTACTACAAGAACCATTGTTAATTTCCTATCGCCTTGTCTGAAATTCTGTATTGCTTGTATCGTTTTTGTGTTATTTTGTAAATGTCTGTGTGTTTGTTAGTATGTTTTTGCTCTTTTATCTTTAAAGTAAAAGGAACAAACCCTTGATAATTTCTGAATTGCAGAGATCTCTCTCTTGTTCTCTTTCTCTCTTTCTGAAATAGTTCATAGGTCAGTCTTTATGGCGACTGCATGCACTGGTTTTTATTACTGTGGCTATTTTTATGTTACTGCACTACTAAAATGTTGGCACATTTCAGTTCCCAAGGTAACTACAGAAAACATCTCTTCTGGCAGGTGGAAAGCCATGATACCTCACGTTGCTCCGATCGGAAACCTGCTGGCTTCCTGTCCTTACAGAAATCTAGCGTTTAGCTTTAGTTCTGCTTGAAAGAGTCAGCACCCTTTCACAGAAGCCTTTTACTCTGGGTTTCTTTCTTCATCTCAGTAAGCACTAGGACAGAAGAATGCATAGAAAGAAGGAATGAATGATGTATTTCTTCCACCTCACGACAGCACTGACTTACGACTTATGTGCCACACTGGCACCAAGGTGCTTGGCATATTTCACATTTTTATTTTTATCCCAAATTAGCATATTAGATATTTGCATATCCATATGGAGAACTGAAAATAGTAGTAGGTAGAATAAAGTAGATGAGATATTAATTGACTGTGATTTTACTTATGATTTTAAATAGTAAACTCCTCAAAAAATTCAAACCAATAAGAATTAAAAGGAAGAGATATTCATATTATCTCCATTAGCAAAAATTTTAAATTTCTAAATATAGTATAGAGTATATAAATAGGCTTAACCTACAAGATTTTGCTTTGCTGCTAGAAAAGCTTCCAAACTTCTTTGAATTTTATAAATTAAAATGCCTTTATCCAATAAAAATATTTTAAATATATGCTGCTGTTTGCTTCTGCAAAATTTTTCTGTAAGTTTGGAATTCCCTCTGTACAACAAAGAGAGATCTTTCATTTTTGAGAAAACCATGAACCTCAGCAAGCACAGAGTTATTATATTAATGGGCTTCTGTTTACAAAAGGTTATTCCTTGGGTCCTAGGAAATGCCCAAGCAGCCGGTCCCTGGCCTCTGACTTCACTTGAATGAGTCAGGCTTTTGTGAGAATTTGTCTGACTTTTGACTTAAAATAATGTGACTCACATCACTGAGGGGATATTCCCAGAAATAGGCAGACAGTAGTTTGCATAAAGAAAACTGCTCTCCTGATTAGAATGTTGGGGCTATAGTTTCTGTTAGAGTTCTGCTTATGGGGGAATTGTGTGTTGTTTCTGCTTTCTTTTCTAACTGTATCTTATGGTCTTGATAAGTTTAAAAATAGGGGCTGGGGATTTAGCTCAGCGGCAAAAGCGCCTGCCTGGCAAGCGCAAGATCGTGAGTTCGGTTCCCGGTACCGGAGAAAAACCAAAACCAAAAAAAAAAAAAAAGATAAGTCTAAAAATAAATGATAAGGTTGTCTTGACATTGGATTGCTCAAACTTATTTTTGATCCTAAGGCACTGTGACTAAACTCAGGAAGGAAGCAGAGCCCAGGTTTGTTGATGTTGACCATTTAGGAGAGCACTTAGTATTCAGATCCCTGGAGTCATGAAACCTGTCACAGATAACTTGTTATGGGGAGTTTAAAATGCCAAGGGAAAGGCTGGAATGTCATCCAGAGACAGAAAGAAATATGGTGGAAATCTATATTAAACTCTTCTAGTACAGAACGATGCTACATGGAAAAGTCAAAACTTCCTGTGGGCAAGGGTCAATGCAAAAGTTCTGATACAACTTCTGTAAAGTGACACTAGAGCTTACCCCAAAATATTAAACTTCATGCTAAACTCTTTTACAGTTGCATAGTAAAACAGCTAGAAGAACTTATTCCAATTATCATAGTGGTTACCAATGATATGATATAGAATGTACATATAATTCCCACCCCCATCTGCCTCCATACACAGGGGTTTTGGTTAAAGTCTGATTCATTGCTGTGTAGGAACCTAAATACTATAGATACTACAAGATTCTATGTGATGATAAGATGTTCAACTGTATCAAGCAAAGAGAAAATCTTGTAAATATAAAGAAGTGGGGAGGTGATCATAGTAAAAGCAATAATTATCCAATCAGTGTCTTAGAATTGGAATTAAAATGCGTGTCTTTGGATTTAGAGTTTTCCAAAGAGGATGGATTATTTTAAGAACCAACCCCTTTCTAAAAAGAAATGATAGTCCACTTTTTGATGTTGATAAAGGAAATGTGATCATATTTGTGGGGTAATCCATTATCCGTTGAAATTCAGAATGACTCAGAGATCAGATCTTCAGTCCACACAAGTCTAAATCACAGCTAGGGAAACATTCACTTGTTTAATCTAGTCTGATGTTTTTTCAAATAATCACATATTTTTTATTTTATATTTAAAGTTTTTCTAAGTACTTTCAACCCAAGAATTAAATTCATCTAAAATATTTTAAAAGGGAAGCAAATGTTCACTGACTATTACCTTGAGTAAAATAAAGTACAGGGATTATTTAAAACAACTTGCAATGCAATATCAAAAATGAGAAATAATGCTGGGCATTTTATTTTCACCTCCTGAGAGTAGCTGTTGCTTTACTCTTGCCAGTTACTATGAAAAGTGGTTCAAGAATCATTCCCTCTTTCTCTCCCTTGGAGCTTTACTGACTCAGACACATGTTTGCATTCCTTTTGAAACTTATATATGCTTATTGTCTATATAGTATATTAGGTTACATTGTGATATTTTCATACATGCATATAATGCACTTTCTCCTTTTCAGAGCTGGAGGCAGAGGAGTGGTGCAAACACCTCTGCATGGAGTGTCTAGGGACCAGGCTCAACGACATCAGCCTTGGAGAGCCAGACCTCCTGGCTGCAGGAGTGCAACGGGAACAGAATGGTCAGTGCAAACTTGCTTCCCATCAATGAAGAGTGTGGTACTAGCTGTAGAACTGGCAGTAGACAGGACCTCAGAAATGTTTCAGACTAGTCATATTTTTAAAAGAAAGATAAATGATCAACCCAGGTTACTAGGGAACTTTCCCACAACCAGAGAAAATGCTAAGGTATAAGGCGGGTCTCATGACTCCTTGTCTGAAACACTGTCATTTGTTCAAATGAAAATCTAGTAGGTTAAGTCATGGTATATAAGGCTTTTGAATCTATAGCATCCCTATTTTCTCCTTTGAGAGCTGGTTTAGCTTTAGAGTTTATACAACAAATTTGACTTATCAACTTATCGACAGCTTTTGCAGCATTTAGCTTATACAATCAGGGGGAAATAACAGTCGATGAAATCACAGAGTATTCCAAAATTGAGGCTTATGTGATTAGCAGAGTGTTCCTACTACACTGTTCTCTAACTTTGCAGTTAGATACTTCTTTGCAGTTAGATACTTTGCAGTTTTTGATACTTCTTAACAATTTATGCTGCATGTTCTTGATTACCTCTGATGAAAATGAAATAATTCAGTGTGAGGTTTTTAAATTGTATGCAGATAATCATTGATAATCATGAGCTCATTTCTAGCAGTTTTAAAATAATTATCACCATCATCATATGATTTAGTACTCTGATTATAAAAAAGTTTTCAGTATTGCTAGTATTTGATGTCAGTTTGGGAAAAGGTTGAGGGTTGTTTGTTGAACTTGATACTGCTTATGAAAAAGAAATTGTGGAATTATCTGTTGTTTATAAATTAGATAGCACAGAATAAAAGTGCACCGTGGTCATGCTTGATGATTATTGGTTTGTTGATAACAAGCACTACTGTCATGTAGCCCAGGTAAGCACTTTTTTTGTTAGTCAATAAAATGAAAAATCAAGACCTTCCAACTTATTTTTGATCATGAACATACACAGAGGCCAACACTGCCTCCACTTGTAGTGTACACAAAAAAGCCGTGTTGTGCTTCTATTCCCAACTCCTTTTTGCATTCCACTTTTTCTTCGGTGTTTGCTCAGATTTCCATTTCTCTGATTATTTTCTGAGAACTACATTAGGCACAGAATATCCATAACTGTGCTGCATAAAGCCTAGTGCTCATCCACATTTTAAGGAGGAAAAATTCTTACTGCAAAGATTTGTCAAATACTATATAAACCAAATACGAAAAAGCACATAAATTAAGCTTGTGGGTGGGAATATTGTCCATCTTTTCTAGAATAAAGTGTATGCTTTTGTTTTAAAAGTTTAGAATTGTTTATGGTCTCCATCCAAATGATCTTTTGGTGTGATCTTTTTGTACATTATAATTTTGTTTCTGTTTTGATGATATTGTTGATTTGCCTAGACTAGAAAAGGGAATTTTCAGTGTGGACATTCAAGACAAGACAACCATGAAATGAAATGTGAGAGCCACACGAATGGCAAAAGTTTTCCTTTTTTAAAAAAGAAGACACAAATAAAACAAAAATTTTCCTGCAAATACCTGACAACAGACTTGAAATTTTAATATCACCTATTGGATAAATTCTTGTTACATTTATTTCATTTGATAATCCTAACCACACAAAAATATATTTTTAAAAATATATATTTAACAAGTGCATGAGTAATTATTTCACTAGAGAAGGTGGTATTTAGTTCATTTAGATGAGCTCCTAAAGACACATGGTACACTATAAGAAAATTAACAATCTTACTGTAATACACATGCATAGAGACATACATGCACATACACTCACTAAAAGTCTTCAGTATTCAGTATTAAAAGTAAAATTCTTGGAGGGGAAGATCTCTTTTCCTAGGGAATCACCTTCCTCTTGACTCCAAAGATTAAAAATGCAGCTGCTGCTGTGGCCTCACAGAATCAGCACCCCCTTTATTTAAGGTATATCCCTAAGACCAGATAATATATTTGCTCAGTTCTTCTTGCGCCCTTTAAAAATGACTATCTGACTTTTTTAAGTTGTCATTTATACTATCGGAGGGCAACACAAAGGGTAAAGCTCAAGAGAATGCTAAGAATGTCCACCAAGTCTAGCTTATCAATTCTAGTGTGTGTGTGTGTGTATATATATATATATGCACATGGGAGAAAAATTTACACACAGATTGCCACAGGTTCTTACAGGAATTTTTTTCACTTCCTAATGACCAGGCTTCCCCTGATTATATTATAATTCCATTCAAGAGCCCCCCTAATAATTACCAAAGATTATAAAACTTTATGGTCAATGCTAAGATTTGGTTTTAGCTGCTTGGACCCTCTCCTTCAGGTCTTTGATGGTAATGGAGCCAACACTTGTTTCCCAGACACTGTGCATGCTTACCTTAGTCAAAATGTGTAAGGAAGATATTCCTTGTTTTAGCTGGCTAAAATTAAGGTAACATTTCTAAAACTGTCTTTTTATGGATTCTTGATCACTACTCCAGACATTTCATGTGTAAGAAACCTAAAATAAACAAAATCTTTGACATCATGATACATTTTAAGTCATTAATATGCACATATTGAAATAAATCCATTAGGAAAGATTTGTCATTACAGATTCAATTTTTTGTGTGTGAAGGCACTTTGGTTTTAAATTATATAGTGAACCTTTCATCAGAAACTCTATTTTGTTATCTTGTCAATCATGTGCCTGGATTTAGTTTGAACCTTTTCTCCTAAAATGTCAAATATATATGCATACAGAAATATTTAAGAAATTACGCTAGCATGGTTTTCAGTGATCTTGTGGTGTTCCATAATCAAGGAAATTCACACAGTTGGACCTTGGATTGCAGCACTTTTTGACATTCAAAATCATTGCCTCTCTTCTATTTCTCTGACCCTTCAAACAGCTTGGTCTTATTTACTGTGAGGCTAGATGAGAATACATATTGATGTAAATGAATTTTTAAAGGTGAAAGATGTGTGTTTCTGAGATAAAAGTATTTATTGATTAAATTTTTGCCTTAATCATCTTTATCTAGGGATGTCAGTTGTTTTCACATTGACTCAGAATTCCACATGGTGCAGAAGAAAATTAAGCAAATAGAAGCTTAAACACACACACACACACACACACACACACACACACACACTTATTTTTAGACCCTAGACCTCAGATGACACTGTCACAAGAAAGAACATCGTAAGTAGACATTTCAACTTTTAAATTCATAAAATTTCCAGAATCTCTAAGTCTATCCACAGTATTTGAGATTCTACAATGACCTTTGGAAATATCAATGTATGTTACTGTACTCATAGTTATTTATAACACAATAATAACTCTAAAAGAACAGTATATTACTCATTAACAGCAAAAGTGTGCTTTACCAAGAAATAATTCACTTGTAAGGAAATTCAAGCAATTGCAGTTAGAAGGAATCACAGAGAAAATGTTCAGCTTCCTTGTCATGTAAGAGATCTCTACATAAGTAAAGAAAGAAAATATCCCAAAACAAACAGGAAACATAACCTCAAACTGCCACCTGATTTACTCAGCATCAAATCCGAAGGTTTTGTTTTGTCCAAGACCTAGAGGTTCTGCCTGTGATTGGACCAGACTCAGCATAAATTCCTACTTTTATCCTAAAAACATGTATAACATTTCTCTAGAACTATGGAATAGTCTAATGATTCTAAACTCTACCTGATTTGGTACAATAAACATGCTCCCTATATTCAACTCAGATACTTTGAATGTCATTCATGCACTCAATATTCATACATTAAACATATTTGTGGACCTATATATTCAAGATCCAAGCTCAGGAAATGCAGACTTGAACAAAATGTGGTCAGTAGGCCAGATGTTCACAAAATAGTGAGGGACACATACCTTTGGTATATCAAGCAATGCTTTGTAAAATAATGCTGTGTTACCAGTCGCTAAAGAATTCTCAATAGCAAAGAACTATAAGCCTGTCTGTATTGTTCATACATAGGTGTAATGGCTAAAATGTAGCTGATTTATGCTAGATTGTGCTGAAATTAGACCTAAACTACAGGCAGTGTACAGGTGTGTACAAGTGTGCTCAGTAACAAGAGTTTTCTAGGTTCATGATTTTGTCCATAGGTGACCTGCAGTCCACATGATCTATGTAGCATTTCCCAAAGTGCATTCCAGAAAATAATGTTACTCTAGTGACAACAGTGAGGATGTCCTACTCTCTAAAATGAGGGAATCCATCAAGTGAACATCACATGGTGCTCCTAAGGGGTGCACCGAGTGCCCCACTGAAAAAGAAAATCTTGAAGTTCCATTTCTCAGGAACTCTGAATGTTGTCTTAGTTGGAAAGTATGTTTTTATAGAAGTAACCAAGTTAAAATGGGATCATTAGTGTGAATTCTAGCCCAATGTCCTTATAAAGAGGGGACTTTGGGACAGAGACACAGATATGGGAAGAGGATGTGGAGACACATAAGAAGAAACCAGCCATACAAATGGAGCAAAGGTCATCTGCAAGCCAAGGAACATGTGTTCCTTAAAAACACAGTTGGTAGAAATGACAAGGATACTCTTGAGTATCAGAGAGAATGGCTCTGCCATAGTTGACTTTAGACGTTTAGCCTCCAAAACTGTGAGACAATGAGTTTTTATTTTTTAAATTCCCTGGTTTTGGGGACTTTGATACAGTGGATCTGGGAAAGTAATACCAATCCTGTGTGGTGCTTATGATATGCATTACTATGGTAAGGTTCTTGAGAAGTCTTGTCACTTTCTGCACATAAGAGATATTCCTATGCTCTAGAACTTAAGATCCATGAAACGTAATTTCAAAGGCTGATACTATCCACAGGGAAAGCTGAAACGTGGTGTCTGTGAGAGTGACGATCCTGGCAAGAAGACATTAATGGGTACAACACAAAGTCTGCAGTGGGTCATAGTTATTTTGCCCAGCCTTGGATTGCACTCCTTTAATTTCATGAGTTCATTTATATAGATTCTGCATATAATTTTA